TTTAACTTTTTATCTTGGTTTGCACATACGTGTGTTTTTTTTCTTCAGATGGCATATCAGGATTTATAATCCTGAAGTCTATGTCCTAGGTAGGCTTACTCACCTGGGCAGTTATCCATTAGGTATGTCAGGGCTAACAACCTTTGCACTGATCTTTATTCTGGTTCATACTGTGAAGTACAAGCGGGGCAGTCATACCAGACTCCAAATACTGCAACAGGCTTTGTTCTCCGTATGTCAACACCGTGAGACTGAAGGTCAACTCCCTTATTTCGTACAGTGCATGCTTGGTGCAATTTCTTTCATCCTCAGGGAGTTATGCTCCCTACCCTTTAGCGGTGCTGCCCGTGGATACAACTGGGTTACTCCGATCAAATTCAGAATTCCAGATGCATCCTAACTTGTCTGAATTTCTCTACACTGAAATGGGTGATCAAACATGAGCTCTTCAAAAAGCATGACAGCCCAGGCTTCAGATGTCGGAGGGTCTTCTATCTCAGTTGAGAGGACCTGCATGGAAGTCCTCATCTGTTATTTGCAGAAAATCTTGGGCTGCTCTCAACTTGTAAAATACCAGTTCTCAAGGATCAACAACTGAGTGCTTATATTCTATGCACGCCATGCTGGCTATGCCAATTGGTTCGCAGTCCCTTCCTAAGTAGGGTCCGGTCATCAAACCCAGCATGAATAAGCATCCGTCTTAATAATTGAGAGTGCATATATTTTCTTGTGCTTAGGGGTATTCTTAATAAGGAAACTGTATGAGCAAGGAGGGGCCCTCACTTTCCATGTGTGGTTTTAGAATCTGTCATTTGTCTTAATTAGTAGTTTTGTCCCTGACCCTTTTCTTCTTGAACGATGATGTTTTTTGGCCCTTGAGCAATGCTATAGCTTTAGACCCAATTTCCCAGCCCTGTAGTGACAAGCTAGGCTCATTGTGAGCAATGCCAGGAAGGAAAGCTGCCTTTATTTGGGCCTGAGAGATCTGACATGGAATGTGATGTGCTAGAAAACATGTATTGAGTTGTAACACTTCCAAGCAAGTAAGCTGGTTAAGCAGTCCAGGTTCTTGTCTCAGTTCTGCTTTCACAAGTTATTTCATGGGAACTGTGCTGCAGAACTAGAGCTTCTGTTTCAGAGCATTGCAACAAACATTTTGAGGAAATATGAATGATAACGCGGCAGTTCCCCCGAGAGAACGTAATTAGTCCCCTAGTGAGCTACCACTCT